TAGCCCATGGTTTTTTTCTAAAAAATGGCTCCAAAATCACCCCAAATATTTATTACATTTTCTGATACACATTGATGTCCTTATGCTATGTAGCAAGTTTGGGCTTTTTTTGACAAACATTTTTCAAGTAATGGTCATTTTTAAAATTTGACCAATTTTTGAAAAATACCAGCTATATAGCTCATGGTTTTTTCTGAAAAATGGCTCCAAAATCACCCCAAATTTTTATTACATTTTCTGATACATATTGATGTCCTTATGCTATACAGAAAGCTTTAGCTGTTTCCAAAAAATATTTTTCAAGTTATGGCTATTTTTAAAAATCGGCCAATTTTTGAAAAAAGCAATATAAGCTCATGGTTTTTTTCTGAAAATGGCTCCAAATCACTCCCAATTTTTATTACACTTTCTGATACATAATTATGTATTTATGCCATGTAGAAGTTTGAGCTAATTCCAAGAAAAAAATTTTTGAGTTATGAGCATAATATTGTTAAGAAAGCAATTTCCTTTTGAAAAGAATGGATTTGTCTTGTAGTCTATGAATATTGACCAAGGAGCAGCTCATTACCTGGTGATCCAACAACACTCTCTGGCACTCTTGATTCTGGATCAACAAGGAATTGATAATAACCAGAGGGACATGCTACTTAAAAAAAACAGAATAATTCATGCACAATACAAAAAAATTCTTACCTTCACAGCGACAGCTTGCTTGATTTAATAGATATCCGTTCTGACAGTCAGTAACATTTAGCAAACAATCTAAAAATTAATAATAAATAATCATGATAAGAATCTACTTACCTCTGCAGTTGCTGCCTCCAAAGTTGTGAGGACATTCACATTCATTCCCATTCATAGGATTAGGGGTTCCATTATTAGGACAGTTAGCATTAGAGAGACACTGTCCATTGTATCGTGCATAAGTACAAAGTAAACACTCTGAATTTGGTAAACAATGATCACAATACTGTGGACAATCTATCAGAGAAAGAGAGAGAGAGAGAGATTTATCATAATTTGATTAATTTCATTTAGTGCGTTCATGTCATCCCTACTACATTGTTTACACTCAATCAGTGATAATTATTTCTATTTACTATCCATTGTATCATATATGGCATATATAGTGACTAGTCATAAACAGAACAACATGAGTAGTTTCCCATTTTTGATTTATAAGATAAGGACCTATTCAGTACATGTACATAAAGACTACATACATCATGTTGGTCTTTGTCTAATAATTGTTACATGTAGGATATGCTATCATTTTATCATTGTCATAGTGTCAAAACTAAAAAGCAATACCGTATAGCAGGTAATTTTGGAAGGGAATAAATTCGGTGGAACTTGGTGTTTTGATAGCCATTCGTCAAAATAAAAATTCGTCATTTTGAGCCATTATACGTATGCTCAATGGCACATGGCCACAAATTCGCCAAATTAAAAATTCACCAATCACCAAAATTTAGCTATTCGCCAAATTTTACCCCCTCTAAAATTACCCGCTATACAGTAATGGATTAGATCTGTGCTCATACCTGTTCCTGATTCACAAGGATCTTCAGCATCCACACATTCGTAACATGAAGAACGCTCTTCTCTGAATCCAAACGCACTGACAGATAATAATAATAATCCACTGTTACACTGTACAGTGTATCGTCCATTAGTACCAGCCATAGTTTCATAAGATATTGATCCAAAAGAGAGTGTACTCCTATTATCTGAATACTCTAGACAGTTAATGATTGCTCTAGTGAGGTTGTATCCTTCAGTTGAATTGATAGCAGATATTAGGTAGCTGGTATCAGACACTGTACAACCATTACTGCTACTCTCTCCTTCTCCATGACTGCTACTCTCTCCTTCTCCATGACTAGTGGCGGAGGCGGTACACACCAAGAGAAGGAGACACAAGAGTAAGGAATACGCCATTGATGACCGTCAGTAGGGCTTACAAATAAAGATTGACAACAAAGCGGAAGGCGAAACTCCTTAAATAACAAACTAATGGACGCGAAACTGAAGTGTTATCTCTTCATGTAATGAGAATAAAGTCATCCAAAGAATCTTTTACTGGAATGCATTTACCCTCGTGTTGTGGTGAGACATAAAATTAATTTATGCCACGCCCACACCACACCCAGTTAGATCTATTTAGATTTTAAAAT